CATATTCTTTTTAAAGAATTAAAGTATTTTGTGACAGAGTCATTACCTTGACGAATGTCACCAAGTTTCAGGGAAAGTTCATAAACTTGAGATTGGTTACCCGTGTCCGAATACATTTGGGCCACATTCTCCCAGAGTTCTTTGACAGTGGAGTAACACATGTAGTTTGCACCTATCTCTTCTTCCATAGAGTTCACCAACCATGTCGTTATCATGTAATTTTTTGCATCCCAGGTTGCGTAGGATGGATCTGTAGTGGCTGGCTTACAGACTTCCCCTGTTAGGTAGCCTATCTTCCCTCTTCCTCTAATGTACATCTTCACCGATTGTGACCAGCGTAGATAATTATCACCATTGAGACGGATTGTGGTGATCTTGACCGGGTGATTTTTGGTGGTTCTAGAGGAGGGTGGTGCTGATGACAGGGTGGAATGTTGGATAGAGGTGGCAAAATCATTTGTATTTTCAGACATGATAAAAAAGAAGAGATGGTTCGGCTTTGGAAGTGGCGGAAGAAGTCCCTGCGGCTCAGGAAGTAGGAATCAGAGATAGGTCGAAGGTTCAACGGGATCGCGACTCGCGGTAGAAGGATCGCGGACTGCAGAAAGGATCGCGACTTGCAGTAGAAGGATTGCAGCTTGCAGGATCGATCGCGGCTTGTGTGCAGAAGCGAGCAGTGGCTGCGCAGGGACGAAGACTAAGGTTTTTTTTTTCAGAATTTTATCTCCTGCTCTGATACCATAAAACCAGAAATTGAAGAAAAAATTTTATTTCTTCTTAATGATTCAATTCAAGGTGCATTTACATATAGGAGTCTCTACTCTTTAGATAAGGAAACTAACTAAATAAATTTAAAGAAATTCCTATTACATTCCAAAACTAATTAGGCAAGATAAAAAATAAGAAAGGAGAATAATATCTGTAGTAAAGAAAAGACAATAAATATTGTAATTTGAATTTTGAATTTTGAATTTTGAATTTTGAATTTTGAATTTTGAATTTTGAATTTTGAATTAGATCCTTCAACAAACTTAATTTTGTGTTTTCTTCTCTTGTTAAAGAGAAGATATTTCCTCATCTTGGCAGTTGCGCAAATATAAGTTATTTCTATATCGTTTTAATAAAGGAGATCTAGAATCTAGGTCTCAAATAATTAAGGGAAACTTGTATCTTTCTAATGAGTGGTTAATTCCCAAATTTTATAGAGTATAGTGGAAGTAATTTTATAATCTTCTTATGCCAAAGTATTGGCGTCTTTCTTTGCTGATGCAGAGAAGTTAAAGAATTTCTATCCCCTCTTTAGATGGGCTGGTCAAAATGGATTCACAAATATAAATGTGAAAGTAACGATTTGGAAGAAGTGATACCAATAATGGTCCCTCATACTTTCCATATGCTCTAAGCAACCTCTTAGAAAAGCAAGTTATTCTTGAGCAAGCTCATCATTTCAAAAAGCTTTGGAAAGAAGAGCACATTCATATAACTTTGAAATATGGGAAATTTATTACATGGGGTACTGGGTATGCTCAATCTTCATTCTTATCAGAAGGCATGTGATATTCTATTATTGGCGGTGAAGTTATTTCCTCCTAGATCCAAGGATAAACTTAACGATTTCATTGTTGATTTAAAAGAATCTCCTAAAGAGCTCAAATAAATATGATTTTTAAGTTATGTTTGATAAGTTTTGAGAATTTACCTAGCCATGGAAGATGATATCTGGCCTACTTTTTTCAGTGCTCTTCCTTGCATGAGAAGATCCAAGAATTCAAAATGTTACACTTTGAGCGTAAGGATTTTTTTTTTTCTTGGAATAGCATTGAAATGTCAAGTCTACTCTAAATGCAGTAGTACCTCTGATCTGAAGGTTTTGTTTGTCAAACATGCACCATAGTGAATGAATATTAAAATTGGGGAATAGATGATCGCTAAAACACAACTCTTTGAAGTTAGCATAATTTAGGAGAGAAAATATGTTGAAAGGACCACAAATATCATTCTAGTTGAGAAGACAATGGCTAGATTTTTCTGTGTTGACTTTCAAAACTTGAATAAAGCCTGTTAGAAAAATGACTTCCTACTACCTATAGCAATGCTCTTGGTCGATAATATTTCACGTCATAATATGTTCTTATTAATGTATGTCATTAAGCTACAAAAAAATCAACGTGTCATCATAGAACGATGAACATTCATTCTTTTGTAAACTTTTTAGTATTTACTCCTGTAAGATGATGTTTTTGCCTTGAAAAATATCACAGCCACCTACGATATTCTATGAACCACATCTTCTTTGATCGAATACACAATTAAGTAGTGTTTTGTCATTGACTTGGTTGTAAATCGTTGAAATCATCATGATCATGTAAATGATCTCAGTATTTAGTTTGAAGGAATTTGAAAATTCAATCTTAAAATAAAACTTCTAAAATATGGTTTTATGTTCACGTAAAAAAATTATGTTTTATTGTACACCTTATTGTACATCACAAACATTGAAATTGATCTCTTAAATTAAAACCATCGCTAGAATGCCATTTTGTCCTTTGTAGGCAGGTTGGCAAATATAAGGAAGCTCATCTCTAACCTTTTGGAAAAGAGAAAATATCAAAATAGCCTCTCGACTCTTTGCAATGGGTCATTTTAGTCATAAAGTCTATAAAAGTATCAATTGAGTCTCGTTACTCTTTTAATATGAGCTAAATATTCTAATTTAAAGAGTCTGAGTTTGAGGACTAAGTTAGCACTTTTATGAACACTTGGACTAAAATTGTTCCATGTAAACAACCAAAGATCTATTTTGACACTTTACATTTCTAGAAACCAATCCTTTGTTAGGCTCATGAAGTGCACCCTCTTTGTATGGGACATTTTATATCATGAAGCTATGATAGCATAAGGCGATATACGTCTTCTAATTTTTGAGTTATCAATATTGGGAAATCCACTAATTTTATATAAGACAACTCTCAAGGAATCACTTTGGTTATTGTTGGCTTAAAAAAATGATGGCAGGAATGAAAACAATCAATCGATAATAGGGGTCTACTAAAGTACTCTCTTATTAAAAAACAATGTTTGCCATTGATTCTCGCTATGCGCAAGCTTTGTCACTAGATGTTGGCCCCCGAAATAAATCTAATACCTGAAGTCGACTCTCAAAATTTAAATGGTTAGACCCACTCTACACAACAACAGCAATCTAGCTAGTTTGACAATGTTTTGGCTTCACTTTAACATCACATATATCCTGCAAATAGCTGTGAATGGGCAAGACCTGCTGATTTCCTTGATGCCCATTCTCTGCCAATGGATTCTTCATTTGATGGTGAACCATTGAATAAATGTCCTTAAAGTGGGAGTAGACAACAAGGAAAGACACCCAATCTTATAAAAATCTGATTGATTAATTATTTGCAATGAGTTTGATGACTTAGTTCAAAAAATTATCTCATATGACAATTGATCGATCAAAATTTGAATCAGTTTTTCAGAGAAAAAGAATTGGCTAATCTATAACATTAATATCAAAGCAAAAAATATTGACAAAATCTTCAATCAAGTTAATGCTAAATCAAAGTCGAGTGTAGATAGTGAACTCTAATCATAAATTAACAGGGCCCGAACTCTATTTCAAAACAAAAATCTAAGCTAAAAGGGGTTTGAATTGTGCAAAGACGTTGATATTTATGTTAAGGCCTTAATAATCATGCCTACGTATTGAAAGTACGTTAATTCATCCGAAAGCATATAATTTATCAAATACACTTTTGGCGTGTTTGAATAATTTTGAGATACTATGAAGTGCATATATACGCCCATGTATGGCTTACACATGTGTCTATGTACAAAGGTAAGCATGGAAACACCTAAGGAGTGGCGTGTGGAAATGCGCCTTTAACTTCCAAACAATATCAAATGGCCAGTGGTTCCAGTAGGCCTCTGGCTATAAAGTGTCCATAATACCTCTATACAGTGGTAAAAAAATCATCTAAAATGTCTTCTCAAGGCCTTACTATAATACCACTTTGATGGTGATTAGTATATTTATATTGAATTTCATTGTATCATGGTTTCTCTATTGCTAAATTGATAACCATTTATGTCTAATTTCTCAGTATTATTGTGGAGTCTTTGCTACGTGAGTTTGTTAAATCCTTTTATCACAATGATGTTAGGTCTATTACAATGGCAGCTTCCCCGGGAGAACTGCCTGATTTGAAGATGCTGGCATTATTTGGAACTGGTGCTGTGCTTCTTCGTGGTGCTGGTTGCACAATAAATGACCTCCTTGATCGTGACATTGATATCAAGGTTCTTTTCATTGCCTTCTTCAGTTAACCTTATGCATAATAGAAAATATTCGAGGGACTGAAGAAAAAATTCAAAGTTCGAAATGAATGACATGCATGTATTCTATAATGTAATCTATAACGGCATACCAAGCTTGTTGCAGGATTTCTTTAGTTTGGCTATTTTGGTCCCATCAAAGAAGTGTACTTTTAGTTGTTTCAATGGTATTGACGGTTTCAATGTTCAATTCAGGTTTTGGTTTTGATTTTTTTAATAGTAAAAATATAATTTTTAACAAATTTAAAATAAAAAATAATTCTAAGCTATGAAATTTTGTTGGCTATCCAACTTATATAACTTCAAAAACCTAAATTTAGATAATGTAAGTGTTGTTAAAATTAACTTTTTACTGAGGCACTCATTTTACTTTAATTTTTGGTTTGCAAAAAATTTTGTAAAATAATTTTGATAGATAACAATTTGCGTGACATTATGATAAAGGAACTAGTGCTTGCTATGTGATCCTATAGTGAATGTGGCGGGGCTTTAGTTGGTTATATTGTTGGATGATGTTTGGGAATCTCAAGGTTCTTAAGTTTAAATGAGCCGTTGAAACCATCTGAAGCAAAGGGGCCGTTTTGGATTACTTTTCATTTATTATTTATTATTATTTTTTTATTTTTATTTTGTTTTGGTTATGTTTTGATTTAGAAAAAAACTTGCTTGGTATGGAATTACGTATTTAATTGTTTTTTTTTAAATATTCAACAAAATGCACTAAGCATGCATGTCATTAAAATTAACAAAACAAAACAAAACAAAAATGATCCCAAACAAATTTTAAAATAATCTACTCGTTTTTAGAGTGATCTTGGCGAAAACCGATCCAGGACCTCTAAAGTTAATAAAACTGATCCAATACCTCTGAAGTTGATAGCTTTTATATGAAGGATTAACATTTGTTTGCAACTATTAATCTTTTTGACTGTCATTTCTCATTTTTTAGTCATAAAATCTTCCATTTCCAGTGCTGTCTAGTTTCTGTTAAATATTAATACAACTTATTTCTTGCACTACTTCTTTATTACTATTTATTATTTAGTTGATGCCCGGGCATATAATACCATTATTTGGTTTCATGATTAAAATAGCATAACAAAAGAACAGTTCTTGCTGTAGTTAATATTTCGTCATTGGTGGTCAGGTGAAAGTAACTCTAGCTTCTTATTGATCGCCTATTATATCATCTTTATCACTGCGTAGGTGGAACGTACAAAGTGCAGACCTGTTGCCTCTGGTATATTGACACCTTTCCAAGGGCTAAGCTTTCTCGGCCTTCAGCTGTTCCTGGGTTTAGGAATTCTCTTGCAGCTCAATAATTATAGGTATATGGTAAAATATTATTTATTTTATGTACTATGACCTGTTTTTTTTTGGAGTAATGTCCTTCCCGTTTTAACTGTGATTAAAATTTTGTAGTTTGATGTAACCAATAAAAATCACTGAGTGGTTATTTTTGTTGTTTGTTTAGGTTTAAAGCAGGGAGAGGGTGGGTGCTGATTTCATTTTAGTTTATGCTAGTTGATGTGTAAATTAATTTTGCTGAGTAATATTATCTACATTTTCAGGTTCGAAACTTGATTGGATTGATGAGATAACGATATTCTACCCTACTTTTTGTATCATATTTCTTTGTCTAGTATTTCAAGTAGTTACTACCCCGTAGAAATAAAATATGTAACTGGACGAGGGAGAGAAGAAAGAGAAGAGTTGGAAAGAAAGAGGAGAATAGGAACCAGTCTCAATTGCAGAGTGTCCAGCCATGTACTTCAGTTTTCATTTCATTATTGAAATGTTATTGGTATATTTCAATTTTGTGTTTTATTTCACTATCAGCTTTGAGTGTTAAGGCTCGTTTGAGGGTACGTCTCACCTCCGTTCCATCATAGCGTTTTCGTTCGTTTGGCCGATTAATTTTTTTGAGAAGTGCATCTACCGAAACCTCATTTATTGCTGTTTCAAGACCACGAAGTCCGACCTTTATTCTGCTTTTTCAGACTTCGTTTCACTATTTCTGAAAATGAAGAAGTCCAAAATACCCTGAAACGTGTCTCCTTCTCCGGCTCCGTAGAGGCTCCTTCGACTGCGAATGCATGTGTTCAGGATCCTTGACGCGGACTAGGCAACAGCTAGATCCCAGGTAAATATTTTTTCTTTTGTCATGTTAGGAAGTTTTCGAGGTCATTTATGAGAGAGGTCTATCCGCAAAAGAAGGCAAGAATTAAATCAATCTGTATCAGAGTTCTACAAGGGGAGTTTCCAATGGTTGCAATAATTTTAAGGTTTTTATAACATTTAATTTTTATTTGTTATAAAATTTATTAAATCTTAACTCATGTAGATTTTTAAGGAGTTGGATATTGTCTTGTTCAAGAACACAGAACATGTCGAGTGTTGTTGAATGAGTGCTATATAAAATTCTGTAAATAATTTATTGGTATTAAAAATAATGATTATAATTTGAACTTATTTAGGCTATTATAGCCTTTTATAAAAATTTATAACTAATAGTGTTAGAAGGTACATAAAATTTTTCAATTCAAACAGTAATATTGACTTTAGCAACCATCACTTTATGCATTCTTTATTCTAAAGTTACTTTCAAAGGAGCTTTTTTTTTGAAAGAAGCTCCCCAAAACAAAGTCTTATTTTAGTGACTTTTATGTTATTATGGACAAGTTTGGTATTTTAGTTTTTTAAAAGCTTAGTTTCTAATTTTTTTGTCTTATTTTTTATCAATAGAGTGAATGTCTATTAATTGGCCACGAGAGTTTTTGTGGGATTGAGATCTCAAATTTCAAGTGGCCTTCACTTTGGGGACTCTTGCATTTTTTCCAGTTATTTTTGTTGCTTTTTCTCTACCCTTGCCTCCTCAATGTCCTTCATTTCTTTACTTCTCTAGTTCTTTTCCTACCTCGGATTTGATCATCTATTTTGAGGCATGTCCGTGTATCAAGTATTTATCCCACTCCCCAGGAGCTTTTAGGGAGCACTTTATTAGAATTAAATGTCTAAATAGTTGGTAAGGCATGCAATATGTGTAATATCTAATAACTTTTAGCGTAAGAGAACATGTGATAAATTATAAAATAGGCCCAACTATATAAGATGGTAATCCTAACTATCTGTAATTATTTCAAGTAAGACGGTGACAATCAAGTTCAGCTGAAGATAAGTGTAGCACATGGTATAATATGTATAAACTTTCTCGACGTGACAATAATTATTTTCTGACATTGGTTCTCATCATGAAGATTAGGAGCAAAATGTTGATGCTTCTCATGAATTTTGAAAGAATCTTTTGTAAGAAGGTATTCATCCGATTAAATGAGGTAAAGCTGCTTATTGAAGGAAATGTTTGTGATTTCATTTGATCATAATTTACTCTCATGTCATAAAATAGAGAGACAAGATGTCATTGATGCATATCTTAGTGGGAGAGTTTGATGCAGGTGACTGAGTTTGGTTTCAAATTTGAATTTAATATAATGTATGCTTCAATGCAAAGGAAAATAAAGGATCCACATATCACAAATAAGCAATTTTTTTATATGATGCATACAAATTAGAGTTTTAAATCAATTGATAATGATATGACCGAAAATATTGACACTTGTAATATTAAATTAGAAACTATTAAAAATAGTGAGCAATCGAAATTAGCTATAGCATGTTCATAGGAATACAACAATGCTATGCCAAAATATTTGCTGGAAAATTTTCATAAATACTTGTGGGAAATGAATTCCAGTACTGGGTTACCATCGCTCTTATTAAAGTTGCATGGAAGAAATCTAAAAGCGCCAAATTATAGAAGTTCTATATCAGTTTTTTATTGTTGCAAGATAAAGCCATAGAAAAACAGAAGTCCAAGATAACTCCAGATAGTAACTAGTTTCCCTCAAATAAATGAAATTTATTCTAAATTAAATCAAGATTGAAATCATGTCAATTAAATAAATTCAAATAACTTGGAAATAAATTAAAGCTTTTTAGCCAAAAAAATACAACACTTTTAGGCCATCATCACCAACATATACTCGGATACAAAATAACAAATAAAATGAACCAACTATGAATAGAAAACACATAAATTGCGGAGGATTAATGCTTGATGCTATGTTTCTATGAGAATAAATGTGAAGATTTCCATCAACGAATTTGGAGAGTCTCCCTGATGAAATATTAGTAGAAAACAAAGGAGATTCGTAAGTGTGTTTAGTAAGATAAAAAAATCCTCAATGTTAAATATAGGAATTATATTCTTGTCAGGTGATCAGTATAGTAGTATACATTGGGCCTAATTTTTCTAGTGATTCCGAGGATCAAAGCTGTCAGGTAGAAAATCTTGCATTAATCAACCAACTCATCATTAAAAACACCATTATTGAAGATGCAATTTTAGCTTTCAAAATGTCAAATGTTCGGTGGTAGTAAAGTAATGGTTTTTCTTGTTGCATTCGCTCACTATAAATTGCAATTATGGATTGGATATGTGGTTGGGTGTGTGTATTCCAACCAATTGGTGGCGACCAGGCAAATGTTGGATTGGTTGTGAAGGGGTTGTATAATTATGGACAAGAATGTAAGAAACGGCTAGATCAAAGATGGGCTACAACTAATCGTTGCAATGACAACAAGAAATGATTCAGAAACTAGTGGAGGGCGAAGAGGGTAGGAGATGAGAACGTGAGCGACAAATGCATTGGTCAACTGTTTTCAATCGAGATCAATCATGTTGAGTCAGTAATGGAAGGGATGAGGAATATCGGGATAAGCGGTATTGACGGAGAAAGTAGGGGAAGGAAGACTCCAAGTCAGTTTATTCAAGCAATCGCTCTGAATTCTACTCTTATGGTAGTATGTGCCTGCCCTGTCCGCTCATATGATCGAGAATCTGTTTAGCTATCTGCAAGTCATCCTTTTCATTCAATCTGATGGTTACTGGAAGAAACAATATCAATATGATGGTGAGGAAATAGAAAGAAGTCTAGCACATCTATCCACAAATCCCCGTCTTGCTATTGGCCCTAAGCTTTCAAGTAGCAATACCTTTCTATGATCTCTTTGCTTGACTTCCTTTCTGGAGTTCACGACTTCTTGTTTATGTTCGAATTTTTAGCCAATATAGCTTCCTTACAGCCTAACTCATCATTAAAAACACCATTATTGGAGATGCAATTTTAGCTTTCAAAATGTCAAATGTTCAGTGATAGTAAAGTAATAGTTTTTCTTGTTGCATTTTCTCACTTTAAATTGCAATTATGGATTGGATATGTGGTTGGGTGTGTCTATTCCATTTAATTGGTGGCGACCAGGCAGAGGTTGGATTGCTGGGAAGGGGCTGTATAATTATGGATAAGAATGTAAGAAACAACTAGATCAAAGATGGGCAACAGCCAATCGCTGCAATGACAAGAAGAAATGATTCAGAACTAGTGGAGGGCGAAGAATATGTCACAAACAAGTAAAGGGAAAGCTTTCATCTGAATACAACTAAATAAAGAACTATATACAAAAAATTTCAGTAGAAGAACAACCACTAAATCAGGAATTAGAACTTGTTCTGATACTCTGAAGAAGATGAGAGGAGAAATAGAATAAAGGGTGAGGAGGAAAGAGAGGAATCAGTCTCAGCTAGGTGAAAAGAAGAGTATTGGTTTAGTAAGATATGATTTCTAAGGCATACATGATTCAGATAAAATGTCTGAAGTCTCCCCTAGATCATTTAAATATAAGTTTGATGCTTAATAGCTCTTAATATAAGACAATGTATGGTATCAATTGACTTCGACTACGGGCTTAATATATTGGTTTAAATGTAACTTATTGTGAGGGTCAATATGCATTATATTTCCTTCTCTCTTTCGCTTTGGTAGCTAGAAATAATGTTCACCTATAAGTTGCTGGGTGTTCCACGATTTACAGATATGAAGCTTGTCTTATTATGCTGAAACTGTTTGAAATCGTGAGCTGCGTTAATCTTATGCCTTTTCTCTTCTTTGATTGTAGTCGTATTCTTGGAGCTTCTTCTTTACTTCTGGTTTTCTCATATCCTCTCATGAAGAGATTTACTTTCTGGGTATGCGATTCTGCTGGCTTATTATATTTTTGTTATTGTTTATTTCATCTTCTTTACTTCTGGTTTTGCTCATAAAGACTTACTTTCTGCATATGAGATTATGCTCGCTTAATATTTTTTATTAGTCGGTTGTCTTTGCAAAAATGAGTGGTTTCTCGTTCATAACAGCCTCAAGCTTATCTTGGTTTGACCTTCAACTGGGGTGCTTTACTGGGTTGGTCTGCAGTTATGGAGGGCTTGGATCTAGCAATTGTTCTTCCATTGTACTGTTCTGGTATATGTTGGACACTTGTGTATGATACAATATACGCACATCAGGTTATTTGATACTTGTTTTTTACCTCTTTATATATTGATTTGCTTTTTCATGAATTATTCCTCGTGAAAGTATTAACTTCTAAGCTCCAGGACAAGGAAGATGATCTGAAAGTGGGTGTGAAGTCAACTGCATTGAGATTTGGAAGTTCAACAAAATACTGGATTGCTGGATTTGGGGCTGCTTGTATCACTTTCTTATCTTTAAGTGGATATAATGCGGAGCTTGGTGTGTACCTGTTTTTCGTATTATTTTTTCTTAAATTTTCATTGTTGGAAGACTTTTGTTGCTGTACTAATTGTATGAGCATCTCCTGTAGAACAGCATGGCCGTATTATCCATTTCTAGTTGCTGCGGCTACACAATTGGGCTGGCAAATTTTGACTGTAAACATATCAAACAGGGAAGACTGTAATAAAAAGTAAGTGAATGCTAAATGATTTAGATAAATATGCTGATACGCACACACTATTGTACCTCATTAGAAAACCATTATTTGTTAAGGTTTGCAACATTGGCATATTTGATTGAACTTCAGTCCCTTTCTTGATTTAGTTGAACATGAAAGAATAAGAAATTATGTGTTTCTAAAAACACGGTCTTGAGTTTTGCAGTTTGGACAATGACATCAGATAGACATATGCACACAATAATTGTAAAAAGTGGGATACATCCCAAGTACATTGATTTTCTTTTATATATTGTTGGCATAAAATATGCAATTAAAAAATTGATATCAATTATTTCTAATTAAAAAAAACACAAACACAAAGTATAATATCCTTTGAGTTAGATTAAAACAATTTGAAGATTAACCAAATTTTAGGGTACAGGGTATGTCATTGTATGACAGGTTAAACTAAAAACTATTGCAATAAGAGGGCATCTTCTCATCATGTGTAGGCATAAAACAACCTTTATATATTTTTAGAAGAATAATTATGAACAAAATTTTCAGCATGGAGACACATATTAGGGTGTTTGTGTCTTGCATGACATGATTTACCTTTTAGAGTTGTCCATGCTTCATAATTTTAGAGAGAGATTTTTCAGGCCGGATATATATGCAGAATATAAATAAAAAAAATGGCATCATCTAGGACTCGCTTGCTTAGACTACTGTCATGAGCATGGCTTCATTAGGTGGTTTGTTGTCTCGCCTTGATGTTGAATCACCCTCGATCATTCCATTGAATCTTACGAGCCCACATTTTTTATTGCCTCATGCTAGTCTCTTTTTTTGCTGCTCACTAGGGGTCGTTAATTTCTTGACATGATTTCTATTATTTGTTCTTTGCCCCACTCCCTCTGAGTCTTGTTTGATCTTCAACATTTCTCTTCTTTTTGGCTTTTTCTTCTAGAGTCCTTGCATTGGAGCCTATTGAATCTGTGGTTGATATTGCTTGTGGTTCTCTTTTTCCATGTGCTGCTCTGTTGGCCTCTTTGTTTGTTTCTTCCCTTGTGGATTCTCGCCACACATTTAGGCTGATAGGTGTTGCTGATAACCCTTATGTGCGCTCCTTCTTTTGTTTAAGTTATCGTGGTGAAGAATGGTTCAGGTGATCAAACTCCACTCGTTTTCTGATATTTTTTCAATAGGGCTCAAAACCATCTCAACACAAGTTGCCTTTCACCTTTTATATTCAAATTGCTATAATTTTTTAAAATTGGGATTTTTAAGCTGTTGTCTCTATTTGTTTTCTCTATAGTTGTCAAGTTTTTCTTTTTGCGAATTGTCTTAGTCTTAAGATTATTCAGATATTAATACATAACTTGTGTTTGAATGGTGATTTTTTTGGGGGGTTACTTCACCCTCACCATGTTCTTATCAAATTTTTATTCAAAGCAAATAATTGAGGAATCTTCTGACTTTTCATTGAGATTCTTCAACGTGAACGATTTTCTGAAGTTTATGCTAAAGTAGTCTCCATTTGCAAGTGGAGATGCTACCACTAGGCTCATTAAACTATTTGTGGCTTTGATTCTAGTTGAAATGGAAATCATTACTCCTTTGGATAAAGAAATTTAAATTGATTTCTCCTCAAGTGATTAATGGTAGAAATTTGAATTTGAGAGCATTTCCCTTGATGCTGATCTTGTAAAACTTTTTTCCACGCATATTCAGATTGCTACTAGGTGTGCATTGAACTAAGAAAATTATCTACTATGAATCCTAGCACTTAGGATAATGGGGAAATGATCAAGTTCTAACAATGTGTTATACAAATGACCAAATCCAACCTACAAACATGATGTTCTCATTTCTCTTTGCTTCATTTCTATATCGCACTCAAACTATGGAACCTACGCTAGGTCTTTCCATGGATTCAACTTCTTTCCTCAATGCTTTTTTTGTCCTACAAAGACGACTCCACCTTAGATCCTTCCCTCGATGTTGATGCATCCATTCGAAGTACCAAGCCTATGGGTGGTCCGTCCTTTTCTAATATCAAGAGCAATTTAGATTCATAGTTTGTGATAGCACATTGTTCTCATGATCTTGTTGTTGATTTCCTAGAGTTTGATTCGTCATTTTCTTTTGATAAAAGTTTCCCAATTATCAAAGAACAAATAGAAAAAAATATTTTAAGTCCTTTTTGTTAGGAGAGTTGAATAGGGAAAAAGTAATTCTTCATTTATAAGGTAGCCTTGGCCATTCTTTCCTTTTCTATCATGGGATTTTTTGTGCCTTGCAATTTGGTTAATACATAATTTTCTGGCTGTTTTGTAATTGTTTCATGATGTACCCGTTGTTTTGATTGATTATAAAATTTGTTAAAAAATAATGATAAAAGTCTCCAAGAAATTAATTTCTTGGACCAAGCTATATATTAAAGTTTTTTTTGTTACTCCAGCCGGGTTGAAATATGGATGACCCTCAGTCATTTACTGTAGTATGCTCTCTGGTTGTGCCTATGAATAAAATCTGAAATCAGTTTGTTTTGTGTAGATTTGTGTTTTGAAATCTCCTCCTTGGATTGTTTTCTAATTACATTTATATTTTTGACTATCGAGCTGATTTTGTTCATTCACTTGCTGTTAGATTTGTTTCCAACAAGTGGTTTGGGGCTCTTGTATTTAGTGGAATCCTATTCGGCCGGCTTGCATCCTAAAAAGGTATTATTTATTTTGCTGGTGTTAAAATTGAAAATTAATGAAGTGATGTTATTAGTCTATTATTTACTGCAGGGTTAGAGAACCAATCACCACCGGAGATTCTTTATGTACAGGTGAGCGCTCGGATCCGACACTTCTGAATTCTTCACTTTATTTCAAATCAATTTTGTTGTTGTTGTTGTGCATTCGAGCATTATGTGTAGGAGTTGCTGTTATGATCCACCAAAGTAGGTTTTATAATAGCTATTTATTGCCATGAAAAATCTGGTCATAAGAAAATAAGAAAGGAATATTTACATACATACCACTCGATTCTTATTTATTTACCTAACACCTAAGTTTTAATTTTTTACATTTCTGCCACCTTAGTATACATGAAAAAGCGTATTTAATTTCTTAAAGATAAAATAGTGATACTATTGATATGATCTAAAAATTTTGGGTGGTATCAATGTAAAAAACAAAATTTAGGTGTTGCATATGTAAATATATAAGAATTGGGTGGTATCTATGTAAATGCCCAATAAGAAAACGTGTTAGTATTAAGGGTGTATGTCTTTGAAACAGGAAGAATCATTAAATTAACTTGCTCTGTTATAATTAACTGATTTTATTTCTAAATTTTTCCCTCGTGATGCTCCCCTTTGTTGTGCAATAACGCAAAACAGCTGTAGTGTGTAATTATTTAGCTATTTGTCTTAATCAGTTTATGCATTCTGTTATTGCTATATATATGGTGGTGGAAAATTTTATATAAATGTTTATATAGATTGTTAAAATTCAGAATAATATGGAATTATTTTATTGATATAAAAGGGATATAAATAATCTTTATAAGAATATTTAAATAGGAAAGACAATAATTAAAAAAAAAGAAATGAAAGATATAACTTATAATATTTCTAATTAATCAGTTCATATTATTTATTTGAAGATAAAAGAAACAATACAAAATAGAAAAGCCTAAAAACAAAAAAAAAATTAATTCAATGAAATAAGTCTAAAATAGTAAAAAAAATAAAGTTATATTAAGAAATAAGTATAGTTCTCGTAACTTTTAAAATGAATAAATTGTTTTTAATATAATTTCGAACACTCCCTCAAGTTGAAACATGTTTGGTTGAAAATCATGTACAACTTGAAATATAAAACATCAAACAATGGGTGTGGAAGATCTTGTAGTAGAGCTTGTACTTCTCATCTTGTATTGTGGCTACCTTTGATTGCAATTCCTGCATTGTTTGTAGATAGGCGGAAGATTCCTACTGGTAATGTTGCAGGGAAATTTGCAGGGAAGTAGACAATTGTGATCCTCTTTAACTGCAGTTTCTGCAATGTCTGTAGGTAGGTTAAAAACTCCTAAAGGTAATATTATAGGGGAGTTTGCAAGAAAGTAGACAACCAATAGGAAAAAACTATAGGGTATGATTTGTAGAAAAAGGAAAAGGTTCGGAGATAGGCCTTGCTGCAAGAAAAATTTTCTGAGAATGGCCTGCAAGTTGGTTGAAGGGGTTCTATATGACTGGTACAAATTTGAAAGGCTCCTGCGAAGGGCATGAAAGAACAAGCCCGTCCTCAGCATAAATCACAAGTATGCCATTGTAATCAAGCATAATTTCTCTTTTCATTTGCTTCAGCAGGACATTGAGTGCACCATTGCCTGTCTCCAGGCTGCATACATAGCGCCATCTTCGAATGAGACAACCTTTATCATGTATCCCTTTTTTATCAAAGCAGCAGCAATGTTGATCATTTGAAGCTATGTCGTATACAGTGAAAGTCCTCTGACTATCAGTGCCAGTCGCGGTTTTCTAATCTCCAACCGCTTCAGTGGCCTCCCTAATTACATTAAAGCCAAAGTCACCTCTTTCTACTCCCTCTTGATCCTCTCCAGAAGCTTGGGCAGCATGAACCTTATTGCCTCCCTAAACTCTAAATCCGGGAAATCCAACAGTAAAGGTCTGTGACTCCCGTCAACAATTATTCTAGCAAGAGATTATCTGGAACGGAGTCGGGAAGGAAAGCTTGGAAGGTAATGACAACGAAGAAAAACGTCGTTGCAACGAAAATCCATTGGAGGAAGTCCACCTTTCCAAACAAAAGGAAGTCGACAAGTCTGGATCTTGGTCGGAAGAACGAATGCATAGGCTCGCAGAGTTGAACAACAATGTTCGCTTCAGCGAGGCGTTCTTTTCCACAAAACCCATATGGAGAAAGAAAACCAAGGGACTGCGTACCAAGCATAGCTTCAAATGAATGCGCTTACAAAGAACTTGTCTCGGGAATTCTAAGTGTAGGAAAGAGTCCCAACGATGGAGATAGTTCCTGCTGCAAGGAGAAGCCAGACAGAGGCCTGCAGAGGAAGTTCTAGAACTAAAGGAGTGGTTTTGGCTTGTTCTGGAAGAGGAGATTCGGCTTAGGTAAAAGATGAACGCTGCCTGGGAGGGCCTACAATGATTAACGGCTGCAGGGAAGTTTTCCAGCCGACAGAGAGGAGTTTTGGCGGTATGGACCTACAAGGAGAGATTTCCAACGACCAGTCGACTGTAGGGGAACTAGTCAACGACAGAAAAGGCTGTAGGATGGAGTTTTGGTGGGAAAGGCTGCAGGAGGGAGTTTCGATTGCGGGAAAGGTGGCAGGAGGAATTTCGTCAGTGGGGCTTGCAGGAAGAGGAAGTTTCCGGCAAGAAACTCTAGTATTTGTTTCAAGGCTCTGATACCATGTTGAAATTCAGAATAATGCAAAATTATTTTATTGATATGATAAGGACGTATAAATAAACCTAACATGAATCCTAAGATATGAAAGACAATAAAAAAATAACAAGAAAGAGGAAATATTTATCTCATAATATCTCCAATTAATTAATTCAGTTTAATTATTTGGAGATAAATGAAACAACATAAAATATAAAAGAAAATAAATTTAATTCAAGGAAATAAGTCTAAAATAGAAAATTAAATAATATTATATTTGGAAATAAATCTAATCCTAACAAAAATGAATTATTTTTTTGATATAACTTCTTATACATGTAAGTGCATCAAAGATTGCGCCCATACTATTTTCTTAAATTGGGGGATCAATGTATCAATATGTTTTACAATCAAATTATTAAAAATTTTATTAAAAAAAATAATATGGGATTCTATTGAGAATTTTAATATTTGAATTTAAATTTGACAATTATTTTGTAAAGGAAATCTTTTTGGTGATGTAGGTGGGGATGTTATCAGTAGAATTCAAGTCGGATGATTGAAGTGGAGGAGTGCTTCGGGCCTATTGTGGGATAGAAAAATACTTTTATGATTTAAGAAAATTTTATAAAATGGTGGTGAGACCCAATGCTTTATGGCATAGAATGTTGCTCTATAAAAGAGAAGCATAAAATTAAATAAAAATGCGAAGACGAGAATGCTAAGGTGAATGAGCGGCTTTTCACTTAGGGGCAAAAATGCAAGATGAATATATCCAATAAAGAGCAAGAGTAGCTCTCATGATAGACATGATTAGGCGGCCGTCTTAGATGATTTATTCATATTAATTGTCAATCATCTAATGACCCTAATAGGAGAGTAGATGTTATAGATTTGATTTATATTAAAACGTGTAGAGGCAGGCCTGAAAAGACTTGGGCATGCTTTATAACATGATTTTTTTTTTTTATAATTAAATAAAGATATAACATTCAATAGAAACACAAAGGAAAAAAAAATCATGTAACCAAATTCACTTAATCGGATAAAAGTTTGTGATTACTGTTGTTGTATGGTAGTTTTGTAAATAATAATATTTCATGTGATATATGAAATTTTCCCATTTTATAATTAAATATAATATGAAAACTTTTACTTATGATACTTGTTATAAACATATACATATATATATTATAAAATTTTTAAAAATCAATGGTTTGGGGTGGCATTTTTGCCCTCTGGTTTAAACACCACTATTTACTCTTAAGTCCCTCAATGCTTTAGAAAAAGCAAAAATAAAGAAAGATTATATGGTGATGATGAGGATGATAGTGATCCTTTTTGTTTTTGATGATGAGGATGACTGGAGGTAGGTCCAAAATAGAGTTTGATAGCTAAATCTTATCCCAGCATATTAATTTTATAACCATGCCACTGTTCATCTTTTTCTGCTAAAGTACCCTTCACTCGCCAGCTTTCCTCCAGCTGTTTTCCACTTACTGTACAGGTTTGATCCAACCATGCCAACCTGCGATTCCTGGCAGACCTGCGGCATTTTAGGGTAAGTTTGCACTGCATGTTGCACATTTTTATGTATTTATGTATCTAATGCTTAAAATTTTGTATTTTTTTTTTATTTAAAGTATTTTAATGCTAGAAACCAATAAGTCTGTTCATGAAAAAGTGCATTTGATTTTTATAAGATTACTAGTAATTATGTGATGTTAAATATATGAGGTTTAGACATTAGAAATGTAAATATATAAAACTTGTTTGGTATGCATGTAATTGCACTTGTATAATGTAAAAATGTTTGGTTGAATGGAAGATTCTCAGGTTGGGCATGTGTCGGCAGATCAATCCCGTTTAAACAGAAAAAATGCTCGGGGTGAGAAGGGATGAAGGGCGAGATTTAGATGGGAGACAACTGATCGACTAGCTAGAGATTGACCCATTCGATGATCGATAGACCGAAGAAACGAATAATCCGAGATCGATCGGTGAACGCCAACGGGCAACTAAAATATTAAGGGCATAAATGATATTTTAGAAGAGGTTATAGTTTTTTTATAAATACAATAACACTAAATTTAAAGAGGGATCCCAAATGGAAATATTGGCTCGTATTCTAACTTTCTACAATTCATTCATTGGATTTGATTCACAGATAAATTTAGGTTCTACACTCTCGTGCTATATTTGCAAGAAAAGTTCGAGCTTTTCTTTCATATAATTTCATATAAGTTTCTCAAAATTTAGCTTTAATTTCTACATTATCAATTAATTCATTAAATATCTGGTGAATAATAAAATATGTTCAAAATCGCTTGAACATTATGTTCGTCAAGTTCTAATTATCATTAAAAAAAAGGTAATGAAAGATTTATAGTCGAAATATAAGATAAAAATTAAATATAGTAATTCAATGACAGCTTGTAATAATAATGGCACTCAATTGGCACCTCACGACGAAACGCTCCGTTTAGACTCAAGATCGCCACGCCTGTTATTTTTCTTCCCTTCACATCACTATCCATTTTACACTTGATAAGGCCGCAGCTGGAGAAAATATTACATCCAATTAATCGATGTGTGGATGATAGTTTGAATTGTATCCTATTGTGTATTTGACGGCACAATGTGATCCGCACCATCCTTCATATATATATTCTGCAATATTCCATGGTACGATTCAACAAATTTCCATCATCTGACACAAATCTCGAGGTAAACTTTTGAGCAAGAAATATTTAAACATCGATAAAAGGTCACCTAAAGCTATGATTTCAACAAACTTATTGTGAAACTGACCGGATCAAACCAACTGCCACTCTAGACAAAACATCTATACCAACTGAGCTAAGCATATTTTTTTAAGAACACATGTTTATTTAAATTTTATAAAATTTCAAAAAGTAATAATATATATTTGAGTGTGTGTGCGTGTGTGCGTGTGTGCGTGCATATCATGAAAAATAAAAATACTTTCAGGTTTTAATATTTTCGGACGATGACATTGATATCACTCAAAAATAGTGGGGACAACTAATATGTCATCAACAAAATTTCATCATACCACACAAATCTCATAGTATAACAATGATCTCAAGGAAATCTTTTGAGTAAAAAATATTTAAACTTTGATTAAGCGTTATCCAGAGCTCCAATTTTAGTAAACTTACAGTCAAACTGACCGACTCGATGAGGCAATCCCAGTTATACCAAAATTGGTTCAATTTGAGTCAAATCAAGCATCGATCAAGTCATTGAACCAATTTGGAAAGCTTACTGGACACATTTGGAAGGTCAAACGGATGTCGAATCTGAAGAGTTTATAGTTTAATCGAGCGTTGCGACAAGACGAATCCAACGAGCTCAATATCGTTCAATTCTGACATCGTTAAGGCATTCAAGTGTTCATTGAACGTTGTATGATTGAAAAAACTTTATGGACCGTCCGATCAAAGCATATTAATTGCACTCTGAACTATATGAATAAAGTACTGAAAGTTTTAGGCATGTTCAATAGCACTTCTCCGCCATTGACAACAGCCGATCACCGTCAACCACCACCTACCGATTGCTGCTGATCACCATCGGTCGCCGTCTATTCATTATAGCAAGCTTTTAGCGCATCGGCACTATAAATAGGAATATTTTGTAACATTTTTCATCAGTGAGACAAGAGATATCTGTAATCATCAACTTATAGTGATTTCTTCAGCTGGGTCATGCCTCATGATTTTTTCCCTTTCTGTTTTATCCACATAAAAATTTCTTGTATCGCTACTCATTATTTTCTCTCTCCCAAGTGTGTGTTGACTCTGGCGCACCGCTAAAACGAAAATTTATTACTCCAGTCTGTCACCTCAAATCTTATATCTCATAATATATGCTTATCTATACATTGAATGACCAACTCTTATGCTAAACTTGTCACAAAAAAAACAGTAAATTAGTAATTTTAAATTTCAAGATAATCAAATACCAATCATAGAACCCTCCCATCTACACTGCACTCAGCCCCTCCCCTCCTTATAAATATGCTGCTGCTATGTTCCTCACTCACAGCTCATCCATTATCAAAATACTGTTTTTTGTTTCCTTTCCTTCATCCAATTCTTTCTCAATGTCATCCTCAACAATCCTGCTTCGCGCCTCCATTCTCCTCTTCCTCCTCCTCACACTCTTCAACTTCGCAGAGCCGCTCTCTGTTCAAGATTCACAGATGGTATGTTACTTAACATTGCCCGCAACCTGTTCATTATTGCTTTATTTGAGAACACGGTGACACTCCGTTCCGTTGAATGAGCGCCGATGCATAAATTTATATTTCATTCAATAAAATAACGTATCCCGACATCTTCCCTAATTCATTCAATGGAACAGAGATTGTTTGTTGTTTTAAAACGGGGATGATGATGCCCTTTTCGCCTACATGTCTTTTGACGGATTAAATAAAGTCTTAGGGTGTGTTTGGCAGCACACTTTTAAGAGAATTTAGTCATGTAGCCAAACACCATAAAGTTAAAATGAAATTCACTCTCCGTTAAATCCAATTCTCTCCCGTTCCTTCTCTTCCCCCCGGTTCTGTCTACTGTGTAACAAAAATCTGAATTTAACAAATCCGACTGTGAGATTGATTAAACAGTCAGAATTTAAGGATTTAATAATCCTATTTAACGTAAATTTGTATCTTAGCCAAACACCAGCTTACTCTTTAGAATCACTTAAGAGTCATCTTTCCTTATATATTTTTCATGAAGATAATCCTTTTGATCTTCTGTTACCATCCTTGCAGTCGACTAATATGGAAAGCTCGGCAAGTTCTCCGCCAACACTCATAGGTAAGCAAACGACAAATAAACAGTAAATATACTTGATATTGTAAAATATTCTTAGTTGGATTGGTATGGTTGGAAATGTGATATGATGGTTGTTTGGTGGATGTAGATTGTGGTGCGGCGTGCGGGTATCGGTGCAGCAAGTCGAGGAGGCCGCGCTTGTGCAGAAGGGCGTGCGGGACGTGCTGTGCGCGCTGCCACTGCGTGCCGCCGGGAACTTCTGGCAACCAAGACAAGTGCCCGTGTTATGCGGCCCGTACCACCCACCATGGCCGGCGCAAGTGCCCTTAGCTGATTTCTAATGTTATTTCGTCTGTCTGGATATAATTCATGATGTTTGGTGTTTGGTGTTTGGTGTTTGGTGCTTGGTGTTTGGTGAATAAAATTGGTTTGCTTTGTTTTGTTGTGAAAAATTTGAGTTTTAGATTAACATTTTAATAAATTTTGCTAAAAATTCAGAGAGGCTGAGGTTGGATAACTCTTAATGTTGAAAAATTATTTCATACGGACAGCGCATGCAGAGATGCATGTGTTGTCTGATCTTAATCGTAGATCAGAGTTTTTTTTTTTATTTTTTATTTTTTTTATTTTTATTTATTTTTTTAAGGGCCCATCGAAATACATTTTGTTCTGATCAACAGTTGAGATCGGACATGTTGCGCTGTCCGCATGGAATAATTTTTCCTTAATGTTCATCGGTTGGGGAAATTAAAAAATAATTAAAATAAAATTAAATAAATTAAGATTAAAATTTATTTTAAATAAAGATATATTTTTTCTTAACATTAACATGTATAATTAATTTAAATTGATATTAATTAATATTTTTCTAAATGTATTTTCTTAATAACTTTTTTATTATTAGAAAAAATTCTATAGTTTAATTTATTGGGATATTTACAAACTATGTGATAATATATATAATAATTATTTAATATTTATTAAATTAAAAATATAACTATTATTAAGCATTTGTGTTTAAAAGGGGTCACAAAACTCTTCTAAAGGGGTGGCGGCTCCTCTTGCTCCATGGTTCCACCACTGTAATCATAGTAGATCTTTCTTTCACCATTTATGTACTTTGCTAACTTTAAAATTAAGTGATTTTGGACTCATTTGATTTCTCATTGAGAGATTTGATTTAACAATAATCATATATGATTCAGATTATGTTTTATCACTCACTTAATATCTTATATTTTTCAATCATACTTAAGTGTTTGATTAGGTTCATTTAGGGTCTGTTTGGTGCAGCTGTTGATTATTTATAATATGCTGATAATCAGATTATTCTGATAATCTGATAATCTGCAGATTATCAAAATAATCTGGCTTGTTGTTTGGAACAGTTTATTCAGATTAGCTTATTGATGGTTAAATGACATTTCTGCCTCTATCTGATAAAACTGTTTGGGCAGCTTATTCAGAATAGTTTATTGGTAGTACAAAAACATATAATGCAGAAGCATACAATCATCACAGATTAATTCCAAAAGATGACATACAGTTCTCACACTCTCGTAAGTACCAGAAGAAATAAAAAAGTACAAAGACGAGCACAACTACAATTAGAAATATTAAAATATTTAATTTGAAACTCTGCGTACATCTGTCCTCATCTGCACTATCAACCTGGGAAAACATCGGATTCTTATGACTGTTGGCAATGTAATATGTGGGACTGTCAGCCCATCGGAAGAAACCGCAGCCCCCATGGCACAACAGTAGAACTGTCTCTCAAAGCTATGAGACTGACGTGACGTGAGAAACTGAGATGGTAGTCTACAATAACACAAAATACATCTGTCTGTAACTGATATCCTAAAAGACATGTTTGTATAACTGTAAAAAACCAAAAAAAAAACGAATGTCAGAACTTAACTCAAAAAAAATAAAATACACATAAAAATTGATCTATATATATACAAAGAAAAGAAAGACTTGCTATATTAGTTGTCATATATATCATATGTTATAGACTCCCTCAGAGCAGTCATCTCGGCTGCACCCTCACCGTCCTGAGTTTCATATTCAGTAGACTCGATCTCATTATCAGCTATAGATTTTGAAGGTTCTAGGGAGTCAATAATTGGATCATCATCAGCAATATTGAACTCCGTATCTGAATGAGAGAGATGTCGTCAGATGAAGTTGTTAAGTGTCACCACAATATGCACTGTTTGGGAAATGAATACGAGGGCATATCACGTAGGATAACCCATTTCTTCTTCCACACTCCAAATGTTCTTTCAATAACCCCCCGTAAAGAGGAGTGTCATTTGTTAAACATTTATTTTTTTCCAAGAATCGTGCCACTTGCTCGCTCAAAATCAGGAATATGGCATCTTGTGTCTGGATAAGGCTTCAAATAGCCCCTCGGCATCAAATACCCAACATCTACCAAATAATATTTTCCTATTCATGTTATGAAAGACAATATTAATTAAAAATAATTGATGTAATTAACAAGATGTTTAATTAAGATGAACAAACCTGGAGGTGGGTGAGGAAAACACTGTGTTCTATTCCTAGTTGTATAGGAAAAAAAATGAATGTCATGTGCACTTCCTTCCCACCCCGCAATTACAAATGTGAAGCACATGTTGAAGTCGCAGACTGCCATCACATTTTGGGTAGCTTTACCACTCCGACCAATATACGCGATCCTTTCATGACTTGGTAGTCGGGCATCCGCATGCGTACCATCGATTGCTCCAATGCATGCGTACCATCGTACCATCGATTGCTCCAATGCAGTTCTGTAACTCATAGTTAGCAATTCCACAGGTACTGAAGTAAAAGTAACAAACTAATCAAACTTACTTTGAAATACGACATGTAACGGAAATCATTTGTAATTTGTTCAGGAATAGTTCCGAACGATGGATCAGATGACTTAATATTTTGCACTGCTAAGCTCATAGGAATGCTGAAATCGCTCTATAGCTCCTCTAACCGATTCATTCTGTGAGAGAATATATAATGTTATAGCCAAGACCTCTCTCGTGGTCGTTCTAGAAGAACCTTGGAGGTCGTGGTTACAACATAAGTCACGTAGTAGATCCATAAAAATGGGTGCACTCATTCGAAAAATGTTACTAAACCTTGTTGGATGTCCAGCAAGCATCTCACCCACCCATTTGTCCCCAACATATGAGGACGTCATGTGTGGTATCCGTTTAGTGCTGGAGCGGTAATATTCCAATAATAATATCGCTTTTGATGCAACCCATGCCATTCTTTTACGACGTTCTTGTAGTGGATTCATCCTGAAGTTATAAATTCATTATGATGAAATAATTTAGCAGAAAATGACATAAATAAAATGCATATATTGAAGAAAGCATCTGGAAAATGCCATAAATGAAATACAAAACATCAATAAATGAAATACATAAAGTGAAAGTCCAAGCATCAGGAAATGCAGTACATCAAATGAAATTTAAAGCATCAGAAAATGAAATACAAAACAGTATCATTCGTTTACTAAAACACGTAAATATTCATAGCGCAGCTCGGGTCGTATGACCATGAACATTTGCCGACGAGTAGGGCCCTTAAGTTTTTTAACACATTTTGCCTGAAAGCGCATATCAACAGCTACTTCTGGAATATCAACAGCTACTTCTGGAATAGGCTACTTCTGGAATAGTGTCTAAAATGACAACGTAGTCCCAGATGGTGCTGTCTGAGGGAGGTGGAGCTGAAAAAGCAGCAACTAGTTCATGAAATGAGCTTTTGACGAAACCATCTGTCTCTTTCTTTCTCCTGGCAAGCCTAGGCCTTTTTGACATGGAACTGGACTCTCCCATCTCTTTTTGGTTAATACTAGGCCCTTCTTCATCAGCTATTACTTGTTCAGGTATTAATTCATCTGGTATTCCTAAAAATCCAGATTCACTTGGGTTAAATGAATTCTTTCCAGTCGCCACAACCCCCCTAAACATTATGTTTAGTTTTTCCTCGAACTCTAGCTTAATTCCGCACTGCCTATATTTTTTGACAGTTGACATTACCTAAAATATAAGACATTTATTAGATGTGTTTATGCATTAACGAAAAAAATAATGAAATTAACAAAAGAAGTTTGTATTTATTACCTCCATTCTTTTTGCCATCATTCATTTGGAGCATCGATAGTTCGTTTAACGGGATCCCAACCCAATCCGATAGGTCCACGTTTTAGCTCCTTCCATATTTTCTATTCCTTCTTCAATCGGTCCTTTTTGTTTTTGAATTTAAGCCCATCGTAATCTCCTCCAGTCAATTCTTTGAATCTCTTAGCAATATTTTGTCAATCTTCCTTATTAAAATACATGGTTGGTCTATTCCTCAGTTCAATTTCCTTAATACATAGATTGCAAAAAATATTTGTAACATCTTTATCCCACATTGCAGAGGGACCCTCTTCATTCTCTTTAGACAATTCATTCACCTTAGACATTGAACTTTAGGGAGAAAATGAAAGTATTATCTAAAAGTGTAATAAAAAATTCTCTATCCTATGAAATTTAAAAAAAAATAACAGATTATAAATAAACATTGACATCCAACATTCATTTCCGTAACAGTTCAATTAAAAAAAAAAAAAAAAAAGTGAACAAGAGATTTATGTGGTTCGGTCAGTGACCTACATCCACAGATGAAAACCCACAAAAATTTTATTAGGCACAACATAAAATAATACATATCTATGAACTGAAAAACAGATTTCCACTATAATTCTCATAGCACTATAATGCTCTCATATCTCACATAGCACTATAATTCTTACATAGCACTACAATGCTCTCAAATGCCAACCAAACTACTCCCAAGTTTGTATTTAAGAAGCAAGCATATATGAAGCCATTAGGAGACCAAACTGGAGATCAAACAATAACATTGCTAAAGCTGCATTTCAGTTTCAAGGGACAAAAAATATGGAGCAAGAGTCATAAGAATATTGTAAAAAAAAATCCCAACAGTTGTGCCTTAAAAGCAGTAATCATCAAATGGATAAAGCAACATGATCAGTATTCAACAAGCATGAAAGCGAGAATTCTGCTTATACTAATGGTTACATGAGAAAACACAACACATTTCCATGGAGAACACAGGAAATGACAAGCTGCAGCAATTATAAGCTTTCATTTTTAGCTTCAAAGTAATCTGTCACAATAATGCAGGCATCATCGGCCAAAAAAAATTCACGGCTCATACTAATGGCATCACCAGCCAAAAAAAACTTCATTTTTAGCTTCAAAGTAATCCAAAATTTACTCATATTGGACAGGTGCAGCAATTAAAAGCCCTCGATACATGTAAAACTTGTCAATTAAAAGCCTTCAAACCAAA